TCAGCCCCAGCCTGTACTGGTGCCTGGGGTTGTTCCTCCCCAGGGGCAGGACCCTGCCCTTGCCCTTGTTGAACCTCATCAGGTTCCTCTCTGCCCAACTCTCCAGCCTGTCCAGGTCACGCTGAATGGCAGCACAGCCTGCTGGTGTATCCACCGCTCCTCCCAGTTTGGTGTCATCAGCAAAGTGGCTGAGGGTCCACTCTAACTCTTCATCCAAGTCGTTGATGAAGAAGTTGAACAAGGCTGGGCCCAGTACTGACCCCTGGGGGACACCACTATCGATATACAAAATTTTACTCTTTCACAATTTATTGCAGAAAGACGATAGAAAGAGCCTCTTTAGTCCTTTGGGAGATGTGGTATTCCAGGGGTATCTGTAATACTGAAGAGTGCAGTCCATCGTAGCACCAGAAAAAAACATTGGAGGCATGCATTAAAAACATTTACTAGATTATTCCCGGCTCCAAAATAGTCAAGTAGAACACACCAATGAAAAACACAACTTACGTTTCATATATCTCAGTGAGTTTCTGTGCTAGCGTTAGATTCTTGCCCTCCAGGTAGGCCGCCATCTCAGCTATGACCACAGCTGCGCTGACACCATCTTTATCCAACACTGATGTGCCACACATGAAGCCTAGAAACAAAAAAAATTGATCGTGGAAAAAAAGCTGACATAGCATTACACTGACTGACTTAATAGAAGTTTCAACCTTTTTCCTGTAAAAGAAAATGGGCCACTATATGTAAGCTGTTTTTATTACTGCGTATGCATTCCCCTTTTCTAAGAAATCCAACTAACTTCAGGGTTATAGTGTTGGAAAGATATCTGCTAAAATCTCCTAACTGCAGACTGATAACATCTGCTCTCTGAGGAGATCTCTCATAGTATGGAGCTAAACATTCAGATTTGCTTGTTTTGTGCCAGCACATCGATGCTGCAGTCTTGCAAGTAATTGGAATCAAAGGAACCCATACAGATACAGCCTTGGTAACCCACAAACCAGTGCCCCGCAGCACTGCCAAGCAGCCGTCGTCCTGCAGGGATGCACGAGCATCTGAACTCCTTACAGCTCGTAAGACCTTAACTCCTCACAGTTAAAAAAAGCCTCTTTAATTCTGTGAATGAAACTGGCAAGGACACACACACTTCCTTCAGTGTACGCTTCATTTTCAAATGCCGTATTGTATGCAAATATGCTGTCCCAGAAAGCTGCCATTTATCCTAAGAAGTGGAGAATCCCCATAGCCAAAGTGATCACTGCACAGCTCTGTACAGATACGTGGTGTCAGCAAGATTATCAAATAGGGCGCTCAAGGCAAGGTCAGCAG